GAAAAAAAAATACTAACAAAATTTTAAAATTCATACAATAAGCTTTCCGAAAATATATAGTTTTGTGGACAAGGGAGGTCATCTTGGTTTCCTAATTAACTAATTAAAATACCTGTCAGGTAAACTGCATCTCTACCTTAATAAAACCAACATGCTGACTATAATAATTGTTTATACAAGTTTGAAAAAAAAGTCTTACTTTCAGTGAATCCAGGTGTCCGAGGATAAACAGTGACAACTTTGCTCTTGTCAACGATACATTCAATCTTTGGTCATCTGCAACAAACCTAAGACAAAAACATAATTCAAATTTACTTATAATAATCTCAATTTTCTAACTAAATCAAGAAATGATCTCTCATCAACATTACCAGGGAATGTTCACACATCAACATTACCAGGTAATGTTCACACATCAACATTACCAGGGAATGTTCACACATCAACATTACCAGGGAATGTTCACACATCAACATTACCAGGGAATGTTCACACATCAACATTACCAGGGAATGTTCACACATCAACATTACCAGGGAATGTTCACACATCAACATTACCAGGGAATGTTCACACATCAACATTACCAGGGAATGTTCACACATCAACATTACCAGGTAATGTTCACTCATCAACATTACCAGGAAATTTCACTCATCAACAACACCAGGGAATGTTCACTCATCAACATTTCCGGGAATGTTCACTATCAACATCATCAGGGAATGTTCACTCATCAACAATACCAGGGAATGTTCACTATCAACAACACCAGGGAATGTTCACACATCAACAATACCAGAGAATGTTCACACATCAACATTACCAGGAATGTTCACTCATTAACATCACCAGGGAATGTTCACTCATTAACATCACCAGGAATGTTTACTCATTATCATCACCAGGAATGTTCACTCATCAACTTCACCAAGGAATGTTCACTCCTCAACACCAACAGTGAAGGTTCATACATCAACATTGTAAGTTCACACAGTATAGTAACCTACCCTATAGATCCTGTTGCATTCTTTGCCCTTACACATGACAGAATAATGATATCTTTCTCTCGTCCTTGAAATCCATCCACAGTATTGATTTCAATTTGGCAGTTACCTCTAAAATTCCTTGAGTAGTAAAAACAGATTGGAGAATCAAATGTTAATTTATTGACAACTTTCATCTATTTTCTACTTCCAGTGAAATTTCACAAATGTGCTTCCAATCAAAAGCAGTAAAAATGTACACTTATCGAGAGCTGTCACAAGACAACTGAAATATGTATTCAAATGAACGTGTTTGCAGCACCCGTCAATTATATAGCAGGTATTAAAAAACAATTGTAAATCTGACAAATATACATCTTGAACTAATTTATATTATAGCGAGAGCAAACAAGATTAATATGAACAACTTCCCTGGGAAAGTCCTAATTAATGTTCCAACAACCTGATCAACTTTCCCAAATGGTTGAAGTGATCACAAATAAGATTCATATGGATTATTTACAACTTCCTTTGTATAGTCAAAACATGTAGCAAATTGTTTTCAAAACAATATTAAGATCATTGAATAGCTACAATACGAAAGTCTAGCTCTCATTATAGTCCAATGTTCATGTAGCCTTTCTTAGAGACTTATCAAACAAATCTTGTTTGTGACAGCTGCAATATATCTTGTTTTTTTCAATACACATTAAAAAGATTATTTACCTATCTCTTAGCTTGAGTCTCAAATGTTGTTTCTGTGCTTTGTACGGAGTGATTATTCCCACATTTATTACACGCTGGGTTTCATCCACAACACGAAGAATGTTCATAATCATATCAGCTTCTTCATAGTTGACAATATGTCTGGAAATAATAAAAACAAAAACAATGAACGACTGCCAAGAACCATAACAGTTGACATAGTTAGCATTGTGGTGAGATCATTGGGTTATTATTTACATCAATAAGAGATGAACATGGCAAAAGATTACAAGGCTGCTCGATGTAGGAACAGAAGACACTGACCAGCAACCTCCCTGGTTTTGAAGATGAAATACAATTAAAAAGTAAATTTACTGAATGTAAAAACATTTGTCATGACATTATTTATAAAATAAATAGAGATGCTGTCCCCCAAAAATGTTTATCATGATTGTGGTGCTTCGCCAAGCACCAAAAGTTCTTGATTGTCGTGATCATTTGTCATCTCATCATGAACGCATAGAAATACAAGGCAGTTTTTTGCTATGCTGGAACAATTACTTTAAACCTTGGAATTATTTCTATTTGATCAAAAAATCTGTACAGCTTTCGTCAAAGTATTGTCTATAATAGTGTATACTGTAAACTCCTTCAATTTTACAAAAGACCAATTTTCACAAATCTCATTAGACACAAACTGTTAGCAACTTTCACAATTTTTTTTTTCAAGACTGCCATAAAATCCTCAAATTGCAGCAAAAAACAGGCTTTATGTACATTTATGTAATATTTTTATAACACTGTGCTGTATATGAGCCAATAGATGCTTCCTAGAATAAATAAGATGGATGGTAAATATCTTGTAAAACTAGTGGACCGGAGAATGTAATCTTTTTTAGCAGATTTGACTAATAATTTTTTGGGGACAAATATGAATATATTTTTCACCATGCTAGTCCAAAATAAGATAACTTGCATATTTATGAACAAATTGTCAATAATGTCCACCTGTCGGCCATATTTAATCAGACCAATATCTTTGTACCAGGATGGACAGAAATTGGCCTATTGAACTCAAATTAAAATTATTAGACTTCAACAGTAGTTTCAAAACTGTAGCTGTTAACTCACCCTGGTCGTTGAGAGACTTCACGCCCCCTTACAACATCTATAACTTTGTAAGGATGAAATGGAAATTTATATTCATCAGTTCTTTTTAGAACATTGCTGTAAAAAAATGAGAATTCACATAAAATATGGATGTATGATAGCGTTCCTCAATTACAACATGGACACAGGCTTGTTTCAAAACTAACAACCTACATTGTTGTACCACATTAATCAGGAGAAAGACTATTATTTCAGAAATCACTTGCCAAAATTACAAATACAATTTACATTATATAACAAGCTGAATGTAATAAGCTATTTGCAAAGCCACAGAGAACACATAGACTTTATCTTCTAAAGCATAAGTATCATAGTTTTACTAGAAAATAAGTAAGTAAGTTGTTTGGGCATGCATAACAGTCTTGTGTACAAATATAGTAAAGTCCTCATTGTCATTTGACAAGTACAGCTAATTTTTTTATCCTAAAAGTAAAGTTGACAATTAATTAGATGAGACACAATGTCTGTTGGGTGTTGGATGTAAGTGTTCAGTCATTTAAGAGCACCTGACATCACTATACACCTTGAAATCAAATAGGATTAGAATTCTACTTTCATTTTACAGATTATCAATCGTGATTTGTTATGAAGTTACTGATCCTTCTAAAATATAATTTTAGTATCAAGTAGGCAGAGCTACTTACAAGATGACTGAAACATACCTGTCTGTTGACTAAAACATACCTGTCTGTTGACTAAAACATACCTGTCTGTTGACTAAAACATACCTGTCTGTTGACTAAAACATACCTGTCTGTTGACTGAAACACACCTGCCATTTGACTAAAACATACCTGGCTGTTGACTGAAACATACCTGCCTGTTGACTAAAACATACCTGTCTGTTGACTGAAACATACCTGTCATTTGACTGAAACACACCTGCCATTTGACTAAAACATACCTGTCTGTTGACTGAAACATACCTGTCTGTTGACTGAAACATACCTGCCATTTGACTGAAACATACCTGTCTGTTGAATGAAACACATCTGCCATTTGACTGAAACACACCTGCCATTTGACTGAAACACATCTGCCATTTGACTAAAACATACCTGTCTGTTGACTGAAACATACCTGCCATTTGACTAAAACATACCTGTCTGTTGACTGAAATATACCTGCCATTTGACTGAAACATACCTGTCTGTTGACTGAAACACATCTGCCATTTGACTGAAACACACCTGCCATTTGACTAAAACACACCTGCCATTTGACTAAAACATACCTGTCATTTGACTGAAACACACCTGCCATTTGACTAAAACATACCTGTCTGTTGACTGAAATATACCTGCCATTTGATTAAACATACCTGTCTGTTGACTGAAACACACTTGCCATTTGACTAAAACATACCTGTCTGTTGACTGAAACACACCTGTCATTTGACTATTATTTCAGAAATCACTTGCCAAAATTACAAATACAATTTACATTATATAACAAGCTGAATGTAATAAGCTATTTGCAAAGCCACAGAGAACACATAGACTTTATCTTCTAAAGCATAAGTATCATAGTTTTACTAGAAAATAAGTAAGTAAGTTGTTTGGGCATGCATAACAGTCTTGTGTACAAATATAGTAAAGTCCTCATTGTCATTTGACAAGTACAGCTAATTTTTTTATCCTAAAAGTAAAGTTGACAATTAATTAGATGAGACACAATGTCTGTTGGGTGTTGGATGTAAGTGTTCAGTCATTTAAGAGCACCTGACATCACTATACACCTTGAAACCAAATAGGATTAGAATTCTACTTTCATTTTACAGATTATCAATCGTGATTTGTTATGAAGTTACTGATCCTTCTAAAATATAATTTTAGTATCAAGTAGGCAGAGCTGTTTACAAGATGACTGAAACATGGCTCATGTTGACTGAAACATACCTGTCTGTTGAATAAAACATACCTGTCTGTTGAATAAAACATACCTGTCTGTTGACTAAAACATATCTGTCTGTTGACTAAAACATACCTGTCTGTTGACTGAAACATACCTGCCTGTTGACTGAAACACACCTGCCTGTTGACGGAAACACACCTGTCTGTTGAATAAAACATACCTGTCTGTTGAATAAAACATACCTGTCTGTTGAATAAAACATACCTGTCTGTTGACTAAAACATACCTGTCTGTTGAATAAAACATACCTGTCTGTTGACTAAAACACACCTGTCTGTTGACTGAAACATACCTGCCTGTTGACTGAAACATACCTGCCTGTTGACTGAAACATACCTGTCTATTGACTGAAACAAACCAGCCTGTTGACTGAAACATACCTGTCTGTTGACTGAAACATACCTGCTTGTTGATAGCTTTCCACCATAGAATTGTTGTGCTGGAAAATGACATATTTCCTTATGCATCCTATACTGTCTATCCAGCATCAACATTGGATTATCAGGTCTGGATTTGAAATAGTTATAAAATCTCTCAAATAATGACTGTCCATATCCTAAATTTTGTGCATGCTGTCAACAAAAAAAGAGTGATAGTTACATATACTGCATGTGCTCTATTAGAAGTAAATCTCCAAATCGGTGTGCTGGATCATTAAAATAAGACTTATTAATATTTGAGTTATTTGTTCATCACATCAGTGATTCTGTGTGAATTTAAATTAAATAATTGCTGTGGTATTTATTATTACTTAATACTATAATAACATTTAGATAGCAGGTAAGAGCAGCAGTTTTATTAACAGTCACTTCAAATTAATAAGCAAGCTTAAGCAAGGATATATACTGATGTGATATGTTAGAGAAAATAATAACAATGATCAGGAAATCGAAAATCTTTTATTAGTTTCAAGTAGGTAGATTCTGACTAATAAATTGTTTGTCATGAAATCCTGCTATTGAGAAAAAGGCAACATATTTACTTATTATATGCAGAAAATTTACATTTTCACCACCAGTTCCCTCTTGTTATCACAAATTTACAAAATAGTTCTGCTCATAGTGTGCAATTTTCCTCAGAAGATTGGGACTAAAATAGCTAAATTTCGGAGTAAAAACTGAAAAATTAATCAAATTTTGGTTGTTGGTTTTGAAATTAGGGTTCACTTTCTGAAAATATTGAAGAATAAAAAAAAAAAGCAAAATAATTTGGGCGAGGGAAATTTTAGTGGTGAAAAGGTTAAATAGATGAAATAATGATATGTCGTGTATTAGAAACCCACACTGTGATATCAATGCCAGGTTGGAATGCCATCTGCATGTCTGAACAATAATTTATAACACGATAGTAATGTTTCAGGTTTCCCAACTTACCTTGGATATGACAGTAGC